TGAGGAAACAGCCATCGTAGAAGACATTGGCACCATTGGAAGAGCAGTTACGGATTCGGGATAGAGCAGCTTCAAAGCAAGCCAAGCAGTCAGCTGAGGAAAGGTACTTCCTGTACTGCCATCGCATAGGCTGTGTTTGAACCCCTTGCCTGTTGAGCAGTTGCAAAATATTTGTTGTCGTTGACCAGCTGCTCTCTGAGTTGCATAAACGTTGAGTTCAGATTGCTGCGAAAGTCTCGGTAGTAGGTGACGTTGTATTGGCTGCATCCTGAACTCAGCAGATTGATTTGAGGGTCTGAAGCAGAAGCACTCTCTTCCAAGAACAGCTGCCACCATATTATTGTTATGCAGGCTGTTTTGGGTTGCATCTTCTTTATGATTTTGCTTCACTTTGTGAGGAATTGTGAACAAGAATGCTCCCTAAAGCTTGAGCCAGCCTACAGGGAACAAAGATATAGAGCAAGTAATTATCTCCATTTGACCAAGCTTAAACTGGGTAAGTAAGTATGGAAAGCTAAACTATCATTTGAGAATTATTGGACTGTTTCTAGAAAGAAAATATAGAAATTTATATAAAAATTAATTACAACTGATCCAACACAAGGCCGGCAATGTTGAATAATATAAATGGATGTGTATGTTTAATTTTTTTTTTTCCACATATATGTAATAAAGAAACCGAATACTATGTCTTCTTAACAAACAAACAGGAGACCTTAATAGATTAGGCTTTACACACAACCAGCGTTTGCTTTATAGGCAATTGCATAGAAAGAGTAGTAAAGGGTGACTTTGAATTCCATCCACTGATCAAGTCCATTGTTATGGATTATATATATTTAACCACTAGCCAGCTAATAGACTATCAACCAATCAAGCAATGGGGATCACTCAAAACCACAAGTCAACCCTTAGGCAAGACAAAATCTGGCCATACAAGACATTAACGTAAATTATCTACTACTATGCATAATCAATTTATGTTTTTTATGTTTTTTTCTTCAAATTCTTCAATAAAAAGAAGTTATGTTTGTAACAAGCTACTGACTTCGTAAAATTAAAGGTTGGTGCGAGATCCATGTCAAGTTAATAAATTTGAACATGTAACTTATATCTGACTCAGACAAAAATATATATAACTTATTTCTATCGAAAAATATGAAGAAAAGGACATAACAGTAGAGAAAGTGAGAAACCCCGTTTGAGTTTTACGTTTTTTGCCCAAAGACCTCTTTCTCAGACTTTAGCCCGGCCCCATAACCGGAATTGGCGAAGGCAGAAAAATCAAACGAGTTCCCTTCTTGGGCCAATGTTTTAGACAAATGCAACTGCTGTGCGCAACTTGCCTGAGTTGAGTTCGTAGGGAAGTGGCTCCGTCGACATGAGTTGGGTTGAATCCACACTTTTCTGGGCCGCTTTCCCATTGACGTCTTGCTTGATAGAGTGCAAGGGGAAATAGTCTTCTTCAAGAGGGCAGGATCACAAGAAAGCAGGAGAATGACTTCCCTAAGTGCAAGAATTAGCGTTCTGTTTCTTAATGGCATTGTATCAGTAGGGGAAAGCAATTTGAATGTTTGGAACACATGGTTGACTATGAAAATATTAGTGCAATTAAAAAAAATCATGAAAACATTACATAGAAATTGTAGTTGACTTGTTATTTTTTAAAAAGTTTTTTCTATAAAATGAGAATAAATATAGAACAATTATGTACACGTGGAGAATAATGATAGTAACTCGAAATAAGTAATAAGATTAATAACTTATTTTCACGATTAAAATGTTGAGAAGAATTTAATTTAGTGGCTCAAATATGCAAGTAATTAAAAAGTCTTTCTTCTTAATTTTTCCATGAAGTATATTCTCCAAAAAAAAAAACAAAACGCATATCACACATTATTAAGTGTTATTGAGTCCACTATATCATTAAACCAAAATATTCACCTACTACCCAATATATGTAATGGGTTAATTTATTATCCACATGATGAATGTATTCTTATGTAATGGACTTGTTTTCCCAGGATGAATATATTCTTCCATAATCACTTGGTCTCTTATGATAAACATGTTTTTCCTATGATGTCTGGTAAACACCAACTGTCTTAAACACTTTTTCGATGATGTCCATAATAGATGGACAAGTAATTACGGAAGATGCCCCAAAAGAATGGATTGACAAGGAAGTAATGTTCATAAGAAATGAATGTACAGCATGTTTGGTATTGGAATAGCTTAGCTAAGCTATTCCCTCTTTATTTATAGTTGTTATTTACACCATTGTTTGATTGGCAATTTAACAAGTAATAACAATTTTTAACTTTTACCTATTTTTCAAAATCACTAAAATGCTTAACTAAACTAACCCCCCTTGGCATTAGCTTTTCCATGTATTATAGAATAGTTTTCAAAATCGTTAAAACTAAATTACCCATCACACATTTAAAAAATTACAATCCTATCCATATAAAATCATTATTTCTCTCTCTTCCTCCTCTTCCTCCTCTTCCTCCCTTCTCTTCCAACTGCATTCTCTTTCACTATTTCCAGCTCCGTCAATCGCCACCGCCTTTCTCTCATCCACCTTTCCAATTGCGTTGCTCTTTTCCGCAGTCCAAGTATTTGCTTCTTGTACTCTTGTTTTGTGTTGAAAGTGCAAATGACCCGAGTAATTCTTGACTCATTGTTAGTATTATGGATTGTGCTTAGCGACTATGATTTGGGTTAGTTTTGATGCATATTAAGAGTAGTTTAAGAAAAAATGCCAAGTTTAGGTTAGTTATGGTGCACATTTTTCAACTCAAAGTAAAATGAGAAAGGGAAATTTGACATTTTTTTTTCAATTATAGACCTTTTTAAGTTGTCAACTTTTAGTAATTATATTTACAAATCTCGAGTATATTTACAAAATTTTATAAAGGTTTTGTTCTTTATTAGAATTATATTGATTGAAAAACTTACAG